ATCATTTATAGATTGTACATATTTCTAGAAGATAAGCACTTTGCAGCTAACCAATGAAGAGCACTTATCTTTGTATCTCCAGCATTTCTTGCATATAGTAGGTGAACAACAAATATTTAACTATTATTTTCAGGAATCTATACCATGTTTAATTGATTTTTCATTCTGTCATGTTGAGCAATTTTTTTTTCTTTTTTAATGATCATGGCACTGCCTATGTCCTCTTTCTCCGTTCTCTCTAAAGCTTCAACTAGATTATTTTTTTAAATGATGAGAGATTCCTGATTTGTGTCTCTATCTCATAAAGGATATGGAAAATGTCACATAGATCCACAAGTTCTGCTTGTTCTCATGAATGTCACAGCTTTTTTAACAAAAGCAAAATACTTCCTGGGATGAATTTTTAGGGAAGGTGATATGAACTGCTATGACTAAACAGAGAGCTACTTTTCAACATGATAAGCATCAAATATATTTAACATTTCCCATTTGGAGGGAATTGGTGTTTGACATTTGTGATGTGTTGAAGTATACACACCCTTGAAAGCGTAACAAAATAGCCTTGTGCTTTACTGTGTTTATCAAAAGCCTTGGTTCTCACCCCACTCACATGGTTGTTTCTCTAATTGCTTCTAACAGCAGTTAACCATTAACCCCCAAATTCTACTTATTTATGCAAATATTTCTGAAACCCCTTTCTTATCACATATTCTTCACACATATTATCTTTCACTAACTCTGCATTCATAATTATTATAACACAAATCCCCTACAGACAACATTCTGATTTCAAGCTTTATGTTTTTGTGGATTTATTGGCAGGTGTACCATCATATCTCAAATACACTGGGAGGCATTTGTGCTGTACCTAAGGCTGCAGTATTATTAATCTGTTTCACATACAGTAAAAAGTATTGCCATACTAGTATAACCTGCTAAAGCAATATCATCATATTCTACAATCTAAGTGTGTATAAACACACACACACTTATATATGCATATGCATATGTATATGTGTATGTATGTATGTATGTATGTGTGTGCGTATGTTTCCCCCTTAGGGATTTCCAGTCTTACTATACTAACAGGGAGTTTAGGAGGTAGGACCTCCCCCTTTTTCATCATTTATGGCAATTTTAAGAAATGGAACAAAAAATGAGAAAACATATATGAGCATTATGTATACACAGAAAAATGATTGAGATCTCACTCTTCATTCTTCTTTTAAAACTTTATCTTAATTTTTTCCTTTGTGATTATGACATTCTGCCTTTCATACTTAAGCATTGCTTGTTATTCCCAATATCTTGTATACCCCTTGAATCATTTGTCATATCTGTGCTCTCAGAATCAAGTAACAAATGTTTGTTGAATTAAATTACTGTCTGACTAGAAAATGTCATATATATATATATATATATATTTTTTTTAATAAGATAGAATGTCCTTATGTTTCTGGATTATATGTGTGTGTGTGTGTTTGTGTAGACATATACACACATATATACATTTTTTTCCTTTGACTCAGATAAATGTTGCCTTCTGATTCAGAGCACAAACTTGCTTAATTCAGTGCCACATAGCATGTACTAAGTTGGCTATAATAATGCAGTTAACTAAAGAGTTTTCATATAAACTGCCAAATCTTCCAATACTGCCAATTCTAGGGAGTCATATAGGTTTTCATATGGGCTGCCAATACTGCCAATTCTGGGAAGACTTATGGGGTCATTTGTGGCTGCTCTAAGCAGCATTCTGAGAATATCTGAAATTGAGGGTGAACTTCTGAATAACAACTGTGTTTTGTAGAAATTATATGCTGATCAGCAATAGGAAATACTTTATCTAAGGCAGTTAATGATAAACCATGCCGATTATTAACTCAATGACTACTGACTATAATATATGGAGTAATATTTTGAAGTCAATGTAACAGGTACATGTCTGGAGAAATTATGAAACACCAACAGAGAAAATGTTTGGCTAGCATCATTATGGTTTGTGAATCTATTTTCATTTCAATTTGAGAAACCCTACAATTTAGAAGCTCATGCCACTGGTGAATGGGTAACTGGAATCATGTTAGACAGACTGAGTGCTGAGGGTCTCTATTAATAGATCATTTCTCCTAAAGAGGATGGCCCGTGGATGTTCATCCTCAATCATAGAGTGGCTATTGATATGAGATTAGACCATTAGGTACTCTCACTTTCATTTCCCCAATAGGTTATTTTCCCCCAACTCTAAAGTAGAAAGGAAATGGCGGTATCAGTAACTGCCTGAAAAAAAAAATGCTTCTTTTCCAGTGATAAATATGAAGTCTGAGAAAGGAGTCAGTTACAATTATGATTGAAGTTGTCTTTCTTTTCTTTTTCTTCCCTTATTTCTCTGGTAGTCTCACAGCTTGATAACTTCTTTCTACTAGGACTACACACTTCAAGCAAAGTTTAACACACAATCCATTCTCTGACCATATAATTCTATCTCATACTTAGGTATATCACCAAAAGAAATTTATCCACTGGTGTGAGCTAGAATACACACACACACACACACACACACACACACACACACACACACACACATACACACGCATACATTTTGTTTTGTTTTCACTGTCTAATGCTATACCAATTTTCTAGTCCTGTATACTTTTCAAAAATTTGTAACAGATGAATAAGACAGCACTCTTTTCTTTTTGGATGAGAAATCAACTTTGAATTATTTTGAATAAAGTTTCATCGGTGATTTTTATGATATGTCCAAAAATGATGTGGGGTTCTTTTTTTTTATTATATACTTAGCAAATCCTAATTTTCAGGGTTTTTTGCTCATTGACACAGAATTGCAAAAATATGTTTAAAAAAAATCTACATGCCAGACAGTGCATAATTGAGATTATACAACTATTACTTGATGTTCTATATTAGTGAATAAACTACAGTATCAGCAGCAACTTGAGTGGAAGAATTAAAGCAATGCTGTAGGCTGATTCTGGTGCGCTCTCTGGATCTACTTTGCCCTCACATATGTAGCCTCGGAAAGCTTGCCAAAATGAATTTTGGTCTACATATTGTTTTGTTCTAACCTTTTCCCCCGCAACTGCTCATTTTCTTTATCCTTGCATATATATTATATGTGTTTATTCCCAAAAAAATTTTTGCAAGGCTTTTTAGCATGCTGCACATGATTACAATGTCATCCTCTGACCAAATCATAAACATGTAGTTTAACAACAAAAATCATACTAATTTTCATGCCATGTTGAGTATAAATACGAATTCAAGGCAGCCAACCATCCATTTCCAAACAATAATGCAAACCTATACTCATTAAAAACGATCGAGTAATGTATATTAGCAAATGAGTAAGAAATCTTTTTTGACGAGTATAAAATTCCTGCTTTATATAAAAGCCACACTGGCCATTCAAGTATTTGAGGTTATTTTTTTTCCTGTAACTTTGTATTTCATTGTAAAATGATGAATTTGGACATGAAATTATATGAACAAAAAAGAGTCACTTCTATTTATAGTTTAACTTTAGAGTGTGCATGTACTGATAGCAAAATGCCCACCTGCAGATAGATAGATGTGTGTTCGATTCCTTTTCTTCCCTCCCTAAGAAAACAGCTCATACTTTTCTGAGATCTTGGATAGTGATTACCCAGTTTTTAGAAAGCAAGTGAACAATCCAGATTTATTAGTAACATCAGATCTTGCAATTCCCTTCACTTGTGCCAGTTTGCAAGTTAAAGGTCAAAGGGTGAAGACATAGAATAGTACTCTACCAGGAAATTTCTCACAGAAGACAATGTTTAAGTTGTGGTTAATGACAGTCAACAGATCAATAATCAAGTTCAAGGCAAGCTGTTCATTGTTTCAAAAGCAATTCCCCTCCAATCCTGGCTTTCACACAAAGCCAGAGTCTGACTCATGGGGTGCATTCATTCTGACCATCTTTAATAAGTTCACAGCCCAGTAGCTGTAAAGCCTATCACTGCAAGAAGCAGTTCCTAAAATCAATAAAGAGGTCTGTCAGTTGCTGACTTTTCTCTAGGAAAAAAATATTGATACAAACCCGCTCTGCAGGTCTCATGAAAATGACAATACTGCTGTTAGGACAAATTACACTCAACAACGAAATGCTTTGGTGGTCTCTTGGCTCTGTCAGTGATGGAACGGACAGCTAAAAGTCACAAGTCTTGCTAACCCTTTGAGAACTATGGGAAACATGCACTAGGTAATGCACTGGAGAATATTCATGCAATCTCAGAGTCATTGTATTGGCCTACTTTTGAAACGGTAATGCTTACCTGCATGTAATCATATACCAAGACAAATTGAATTTTCATGCAATGGAGTTTGAAACAGAAATTCAATATGTCTAAGATAAAAAGACTTAGGCTATAAAATTGTAGCCAGCTGTTTTATTTCTTTAGTTTTTAGAATCTACTGGTAGAATGCTTAGATGATATTAAAATATTTTTTTTTCTTTTCTTTGCCAGAAATGTTTTTGGCAAATATCATCTTTCTTGTTGATTTGTCATAGTTTCATTTTAGCAGTTACTTAAATCTTTTTTTTTTAATGGACTTTTTTGTGATCAAAGGATGTCTGGTTTAAAGCCCTGAACTTCATGAACTTATAGCCCTGAACTTCATGAACTTATGTTTGTATATACCACTACCCAGCCCTGTAATTTAACAGAACCCGAGATTAGCATCCTAAGACTCTGAAAACTGATATGATAGTTCTCAAAGGGTTACACCAATGTAATACCAGTATCACATTTCCTTGTTAGAATCACTGCAACTTAAATTCCCTGCAATCCACTTTAGAGACATACTGCTTCTTGCTATGCTTTGTAATGAGTGTTACTGACAGACCCATGAAGGCCTGGGGCAATTGGCCTTATACAGCTTGAATGGGGGTGGGGTGTCACAACAAAAGTACAGGAGTTGAGAAAGAGGGGGAAAAAGAAACACCTCAAAACAATGAAAAGGTTCTGTTTGAATTTAGTTATATGGATATAAATGTGATAAAACATTGAGGACATAGCTCCAAACAGCTGTATAAAACGCAAAATGGATGTATCATTAAGGCTGTCACTATATTGCAGATATTTTGGCCCCTGGTTGGTTGGAAAATGGCTGTCCAAACAGTCTAATGTCCTGCATGTGTCATCCAGGTCTCCCACCAGACAAAAAATTACGTGTAGGAGTAAAGGACTAGATCCATAGCAGACAGAAAACAATCCTCTTTGGAGACAAAGCTGTTTTGGGTCTTCACACTTTCCTGAAAGTTCAATTATGGGTTGTCTTGTTCAAAACTTTTTTGTAAGCAAAAACTTCTTTTTTTTTTTTCCCCTCCAGAAATGTGATCAAGCTTCTGGGGGCTCGGAGGGGTTAAAGTAGGGGATAATGTTTGAAATCATTAAGAATAATCTTCTTTTTTGTTGTTTTTCCTCTTCTTTAGTTAATCCTAAAACTGTATTGGGCATTGAGCGTGCAGAGGAAAGGCCTAGAACTGAATGACGAAGAGAGACAAAGGACTGAAGAAACGGCAGATACTGTGTGTCATGGAAGCTTCCCACACGAGTGAATTCACACTCAGGCGCAGGACAGGCAACCCCCTGGGTTTTAAAGATCAGCCCTGATCCAGGCTGACGGATGCCTGCTCCTAGCTAGGAAACAGCATAACAGCTCTTGTGTTGAATCTCAAGTTACCACAAACTCCTGGGAAAGAAAGGAAAAAAAAAAAGCCCTTTATCACACCCACTCTTGCATAGAGCGTTTGCAGTACAGTATGTGACGGGGTGTTCCTTTCCTCTTGAATTGGAACACTGTGTAAACCAATACAAGGAGGCATAAGGCCAGGATGCAGGGGATGACAATAGCTATGGCTTTCACAGTGCTGGCTGTGTTGTCCAGTTTGATGACAATATCTACGTCATCTTGTGGGCTATGTCGTTCTTTGTCCCGGTCTGTTGGTCCTTCACAGCCCATAAAATCCTTGAGGATAGATCTGGGATACCCAGGTTCTACCTTAAGTACCTGGTTATTGAATTTCCAGTACTCTTTTCCTTTATAGAAATATGTGAAGCCTAGAAAATGAAAAAAAAAATATTAATTTACAGAAACATCTGCAGCTTCTTTATAAAGATAAATTAGTTGTCCATTCAATAGTGAAATGCACTTACTTAGGATATTTTTGAGTGGGGGAAGTGGGAGATGGGCCTAAGCTGAAAATGATAAGTATGACTCAGACTCACAGATATAGATGGGGATAATGAGCTTGGAAAACCTGTTCTCCATGACATTACAAAATTGTTTATCTTAAAATTAGTCCCTCAAATGCCTTATGTTGAACTGATATGCAAAATTTTCCCCCAGTCCAATAGCTTAAATGTATGGTAGATTATCATTTTGAATACAGTCTTGTATTGGTTCTTTACCTTGAGATAAAAATAAAGGAACCAAAAAAAAGAAACTGCTTTAAAATACTGTATTGCCAAACAATCCAATCATGATTTTTGGATCAATTATCACCTTCCATGAATTGGAATAATTCTGAAGAACACAAGGAGTGAATTTTTGATTTATGAATATCGCTAATATTTTGTTAAGGAACACAGTTTAGCATGCTAAAAACTGGACCACAAGTTCAAGTCACCAAATTCTGATAATCATTCTTTCAGTGCCACATGAATCTGCCATAATGCTTAAGCTCCAAACCCAGTTTTGCAGTCTGAGCAACTTGCCAAATGAAAACAGGTGTATGCAGATTCACATTTTTCTGTAGGGAGCTGGTATTTGATCATTTTAATGAAATCCAATGTAATTACCCAACAAGCTTAGATGAAGAAATGCTGAGACCTTGCCAAGTAACAAAACATTAGATAATCCCAATTGAAAAGTGGCATTGGTCCAGAATAAAACAAACCTTCGAAATAGGTGAACTTACTCTTTCAGTTTGTAAACTGAAAACAAACCATTGGAAGTTTTCCAGTCTTTGTCTTCAGCTAATACCCAAAAGGTAACAGGTGATCATGAAAAGCAAGGTGTGCAAAGCTCAATTTTAGGTAATTGCAGAACCTGGCATATCGATAGCGTTCATAGGTCATATTTCATTGTAACTAATTCTACAGGGCATTCTTATTTTTATAGTGGTAGATGTTTGTTTTCTAGCTATATAGTTAGCTGGAATTACAAACCAAGCTATGCTACATTAACATGAGAAGAGAAATGTTTGGAACTTGGTAGCAGAAAGAGATGCTACAGACTTTTAAAAAAGTTTTCCTTCCTTTTTTTCCCTTCAAATATTTATGTTTTAAATGTTTGGTTTTGGGGGTGTCTACCACTTACAGTTCCTCCCTTCCTTCCCCATCAACTCAAGTATTTAAAATACTTAAAGCATAAACACATGATTTCATAAAAATGAAAAGACCTGAATAGTGAACACTACTTGATGGCAGGACGAGATCCAGGAAGAACTCAGTTCTTTATTAGTAAATTGTTTTACGGCTTGGGACCAGAAGAAAAATCATACGTAAAGGATTATTTCTTGCAGAGAATTTGTCGTAATCTTTTCAATATCATGGGCCATCTTTAAAATGTGGAAATAGCTTTGATATGTAGGAATTTCATTGTAGAACATATAACATTCACTCAAATTCCCCACATCTCTCAAAAGAAAAAATGAAAAGGGATCTTTAGAACAGTGGTCCTAATAAGTTAGTACTTAAATGTCTGAAACAGAAATTGAACTCATGTCTTCCTGAAGTAAATGGAAATGTTCTGACAGCTTAGTTCTGTGAAGTGAGTTATATGCCATTTAGAAAACAATACCTTAGATAGCTGAGATGGAAATCTGGAATTGCTAATATTCTCTCCACTCTCAAATGATTTATTTCATTCAACAATCATTTAATACTGACCAACTACTATCTGTAACTCAGGGTGTTAAATGCCGAGCATATTATATAAAGACAAAGCCAAAAAAAAAGTTCTTGCTCAGAGCTTAATTTTCTTCTGGGGGTTGGGTCATGGAGAGAAAAACATGAGGGAAATACATTTAATCAGATAAGTAAAGGCAATTTCATTTAAATGGGGTAGAGAGCACTGACAAGAAGGGAAATTGAGGGAAAATATGCTTTCAATGACACTTGAAAGGAAACTGGGGATTCTACAAAATGGAAGAAATCTGCAGAAAAGGAGAATCTTCCTGATAAAATGGAAAGCCCTTAAGGACTAGATTATTTTGTTTTTGTATGCCAAGTGGCCAGCATGCTTACAGAAAGTACTTAATAAATACTTTGCTAAGTTGAACCAAATTTGAGTTTTACTCCTGTTTCCAATGGGATTTTGATAGGAGTGCTAAGGAGCAGGAAAATAGCTAAAAAACAAAGAATGAAACACCAGAGGGAGAAATGACAGATTCAAGGCCTCTCATCTAATAAGTCTTCCCTGACTAGCCTCTCTATCATCACTACTCATTTTGTGTTACTTGATTTCTGATGTATTTGCTTATTCTAGCTGAATAGATACAATGTAAGTTTTCTAATATTCATTGATCATCCTTTGTTGGTTAGACAGTCAACAAGTATTTATTAAGTACCTACTCTGTGAACGGCACTGTTGCTAAGGTCTAGGGATATGATAAAAGGCAAAAGAAAGCCCCTGCCGTCAAGCTCACAATCTAAGGGAGTAGCTCACAGTCTACGTACACATGCCACAATCCTATGTCCACACATATTTTTGTCTTAAGTGTTCCTGGATGGCACAAACTAGTTTCTAGTTTTTTTCTCATATGTGAACTAGGGAGGAAACAAGACGTGTATGATAAACAAGGCCAACTGAAATGATTTCTGAAGTAACCAAAGTTTTATGAATCGAATTTGTGGCTAAAAGACCTGGGTGAGACAGCAAATGGAGAGGCTGACAGAATGAAGAAGCAAACCAATCTCAACACGATAGAATTCGGTGACCAACAAGATGGAACCAGAAAGGGGAGGGGGGAATGTAAATTGTTCTGTTTAGGTTCAAAAGGTGAGAGTACAGATAAAGAATGGGGATTTTAACAGTCTTGGAATGAGCTGGCATATAAAATATGAACCTGGGGAAGTGTGGGGTTCACCCTCAAGAGATTTTCAAGTGATCCCTAAGTGAACCATTGTCATCGTTCATGTAAAAGGGAAATTCTCCAGGAATGAGTAGTGCCAGATGGCCTCTGAGATTTCTTCTCAATGAAATTCTGTAGTAGTTAGATCAATGAACCAATGATGTATTGCAGACTATTAAAAGGCAGTAAGGTGGTGCAGTGGATAGAACACTGAGTAGGCCTGAAGTCAGGAAGATTTGCTTCATGCACTTAATAATTTTGTGACCCTGAGCAAATCACTTTACCTCTGTCTTCTTCATTATCTTTATCTCCAAAATGGAGATAATAAGAGCTCTCACCTCCCAGAGTTGTTATGGGGATAAAATGAAATAGTAATTGTAAAGTACTTTGCAAACCTTAAGACACTGCACTAGTAATTATTTTGATTTAAGTTTAGGTTTATTAGTAAAAAAAAGTAGTGTAGAGTTCATGTTTAGTGATAGTTGCCCTTTTACTATATAATCTGTGCTAATCAGACCATATCTGGAATGCTGTATATAATTCTGGTCACCAAATTTTAAGAAGGATTTTGACAAAGTGAGAGGCAACATGGTATAAGTTGCTACAGGAGTTATATTAGGCTGTTTGGCCAGGGGCAAGTCACTTAACACCTCAGCGACAAAGGCCATTCTCCCTACCAACAGGCTTCATTTCTTCACTGCTCAAGGGATTTTCCACACTAGGAGTTCCTTGTATGAGTGAAATCCTAGATCTATACCAAAAACAAAACAAAAAACCAAAACTTAAATGCTTCTGGAAAATGACAACTGGGGTCTGAAATCCACATACTATAACAAATGATGGAAGGAAAGGGAATACTTAACTTGAAGAGAAGACTAAAGGGAGATTTGATAGTTGTCTTCAAATGTGGAAAGCTAAGACAGAACTAGGTGAAATAGATAGAAGTTAAAGAAAGGGAGGCGGTTTGAGCACACAAAAAACGAAATAATTTCCTAACAGTTAAAGCTATTAAACAATTTCATGGCTGCCTTCTATGTTATCTAAGCAGTAAGGTGACATAATAGTCAGAATGTTGAACTTGGAGTCAGGAAGACTCAAGTTTGAATCCCTCCTCAGATGCTAACAAGTTGTATAACCGTGGACAACTCAATACACTCTCATCCTCAGTTTCTTCTTCAGTAAAAATGGGGATAATAAGGGCACAATGTTGTGAAAATCAAATTAGATAACAAGTATAAGGGGAATAAGCATTTATATAGTGCTTACCATGCACCAAGTACTGCACTAAAAGCTTTTACAAATATTATCTTATTTGATCCTTATCACAACCCTGCAAGGTAGGTGCTATTCTTATCACCATTTGACATGTAAGGAAACTGAGGCAAACAGAGGTTAAGGGACTTGCCAGGGCCACACAGCGAGTATTTGAGGTCATATTTGCACACAGGTCTTCCTGACTCCAGGTCTAGCCCAGTGCTGTATCTACTGTGCCACCTGGCTATCTCTAAAGCATGTTGTAAACTTCAAAGTCTTATTGTCAGTTATTTTGTTATTATTGTTAATCATTTTTATACCGGGTCTGTATTTTAATCGATATTTAATATTGCCTAACAGTGAAATTCTGGTCTTTCTGAGAAATCTTCTTAAACCAAAGGGGGAAAAAAAACCCATTAGTTTAACTTATACTTCTGCTTTCTTCCCAAAACCAAGTGTAAGGCAGAAATTCCATCACTACAAGTAAAACAAAAGAAGATGGAGGAAACAAGAGTCCAAGTTGTTGACCCCAAAAAGAATTCATAGAGCAAATTAAATAAAGTCTATACGAATTATAGCATCCTGATGTGACTATTGTTAGAGCAAAAGGGATGAAATCTATAGTTATTCAGAAACCTATTCCAATACCTCCACCTGCTACTTTTCAAAGGCAGGCCTACAAGTATAGATCACTGCAAATCATGTTAAGCTTTTTTTAATATGTTAGTTTTTCTAAACTGTTTTTTCCTTCTTTATTCTTTTTCATAGATTATGACTATGAAAGAAGTAGGAGCGATGGATACATTAGGAAATGTAGGTAATATAAAAACAGAGAACCCCATTCACCACTTCAGTAGCTGTGATTCAGATTCAATTGTACCTTGTTACCTTAATGGTGAAATATGTGGGGGATGGTGAGCTTTTCTGAAGCCTCAATTAATAAAATTGCTCACCTTTGGTTCTGTCTTTCCTCATCTCTTCCCAGCCTTCTCCTAAGGCACTGGCTTCTTAATTGAGTAGTTGTTTTATTTTTTAAACTTAGAATTTTATTAAGCTTGTAATGGAAGTATGAAAACATGCTTAGGATTTCAGGCTTTAGATCATATTGAATCACCAATTTGCTCCCATGAAATTTATCCTTCAAAATAGAAGGGATAAATGCAATAAGGGGTACATGCTTTACCATCTCCTTTCTCACTCTTGTTTTGGGCTGCAAGTGAAACTGAGTTAGATAAGTTGCAAATAACATTTTGAGTCAAAAAAGAAATGTGTAGTTGCTTATTAATTATGTCATTAGAAAAAAATTATATCATTACAATATACAAAATAACAAGAGCAGAATTAAAGTTTTTAATTAAAATTGAGTTTTCTCTTTTAATTTAACTCTGTGATTGTCTAGCATTTCTTATAAAATGATGTAAGAAAATGTAGTTACACAGCATGAGGTAGTCTTCAGGACAATTTCAACAATTTGTACCAATGTAGTAAAAATATCCACTAATGATTAAAATTGCAGATAAATAAGAATATGGAAGAATTGGGTCAAGGGAAAAAACTCTTTTTATACAGGGTATCCCAAAAGTCATAGTGTAGTCTTAAGCTATAATATCTTAATAATTTAAAATTGCAATAAGACTGAGACTTTTGGATCTCTCTCTCATGTATATTCATACATATATATATATATATATATATATATATATGTATATATCTCACACATATGTATATCTCTTTGTTTCCATTTGGCATAAAAAGTAGGTTGAGTGCCAGAGTTGTGAAGAATTACTGAAATATAATATATTGTTTACCAGATGGTCTATTGTTCTGCAATTATCTGCTGCAATTTAATGACTTACGAAAAAAATTGTGAGAATTAATGAAATTGAAAGTATAGGCATACCATTTTCTTTGTGTACAAAGGCTCCCTGAGGAGACTCTGGGATACCTTTCCATATTGTGATAGGTTTTGGATAGCCAGGATCCATGGTTTTCATTTCTTCACTATATCTCCAGTATCTAATTTGGAAGAAAAAAATGACAAAATGCAAACATGGGTAAGACAGATAACACACAAACTGAACTAAAGCTTTTATGAGAGAATTATTGGTTGTTATCACTGAAGGGCAAAAAAACCCCCTTTATATTGAAGTATGATACCAAGTAATAGAGTTTTTTGAAAATATGCAGGTATTTGAAAATTAGACATAAGACAAAAGATTCCTAAATCTTATCTAATGGATCAAAATGTTCCTTCTTAATAATGAGACAAGTATCTAGACAAATATCTATCACACGCAAAATCTGTAAGAATGAAAATTTGGGAGGAAAAGTTTTAGTGAAAATTCAATGAAAAATCTAAAGAAAAATTTCTTCATTCTCCCATATTTACTACAGATGAACTTTTCATCATCCAAATATCCACCCTATGCAAATTAGTTAAAAATTACTCTTTCCCTTGCTATCTATAAATAGTATTTTGACCACTATTGCATTTTCTTCCTAGTTAGTTTAGGGCTTACACAAACCTTTGGTACCATAAAGAAGAACGAGCTACTGCAATTTGATCATATTTTTCTACAGACCAACAATGTTGTTTGTCATGGCACTGTCATACAGAATATTTGGACATAAGGGAGAAATAGATGGAGAGTTGGAGAGACAGGTCTCAAAACCTGGAAAAATGTTATGCTACTGTAGTAAGTGATGGGAGACTTGAAAAATCCAAAGCATTAGCTACAGTTTTATTGAACAAAGGATAGCAATTAAGAAATTATTGTTGTTTAAATGATAAATTCATCTTTGAAAAGGTGGAGAAACAACTAAGAAAAACTACTATCCTAGACCAAATTCTTACTGAATAGGAACTAGTTGCTGAGGCAGAAACAATTAGAACACTGGAGAAGTAGCCATTCCACCGTAGTATTAATTATAGGAGAAGAGGGAAAAAAAATCAGTCAGTCTGTTCCAAATCCTATATTTTGGGAAAACAGATGTTGAAAGTTTCAGGGAAGGCATGGATATGACCTCATAACTTACACTTCTACAATTGTGAGTCTGATAGAGATGGCACTATTAAGAATTAAAGTAAGTATGAAATTCTAAAGACAAAACATGGGAACAATTCTATTGAAGAAAAAGGGGTGCTTTTAAAGTACCTAATGTTAATCTACAGAAATTGACTGGCTAAATCAGACTGAAATAGACATGTATGGGATGTGGAGCCAAGATGGTAGAAGGAAGCAGGAAGTCACCTGAATCTTCCAATTTCACTTCCAAACAATTGAAAAAAAATGCCTTAAAACAAATTCTGGAGTGGCAGAACCAACAAAAGAATGGGGTGAAACAATTTTCCGGCTCAAGACAATTTAGGCCATCAGGAAAGGTCTTTCTCACTGGTGTAAAAGAGGAGCACAGTCCAACACAGGTGACATCCAGGCCAGCCAGCAGTGTGTGTGCCACAGTGAGACAGCAGCAAGTCCCTGAGCCCCAGAGCAGGCCAGTAGCAAGGCCCCATTTCCCCAGTGCAGGACAGCAGTGAGACCTCACTTCCTTGGTGCAAGGCAGCAGCAAGGCCCCCATTCCCAGCACAAGAAGCTTGGGACAGTGTCTCCTCAGTCCCAGGGGCAGAACCCAACTTGAACATAAAATCAGAAGCCATGAAATAGGCTGGAAAAATCAGTAAAAACAGAAAAGGAACCTGACCATAGAAAGTTACTATGGTGATAGAGAAGATCAAAACACAAATTCAGAAGAGGACAACAATGTCAAAATGACTGACATGCAAAGCCTCAAAACAAACTGTGAATTGATCACAAGTCCAAAAATAATTCTTGGAAATGCTCGGAAAGGATTTTTTAAAAAAATAAGTAAGAGAGGTAGAAGAAATTCCGGTAAAAGAAATGAGAGTGATGTAAGAGAATCATGAAAAAAGTGTCAACAGCTTGGTAAAGGAAGTACAAAAAAATGGAAAAAGGTTTGTTTGTTTTTTAAATTCAATGAAGAAAACAATTCCCTAAAAAGTAGAATTGGCCAAATGGAAAAGGAAGTACAAAAATTCACTAAAAATTAGAATTAGGCAAGTAGAAGGTAATGATTCCATGACACACCAAGCAACAATAAAAACAAAATTAAAAGAATGAAAAATAGAAGAAAATGTGAAATATCTCATTGGAAAAACCACTGCCTGGGAAAGTAGATCCAGGAGAGATAATGTAAGAATTATTGGACTGCCTGAATGCCATGACCAAAAAAGACCTGGACATTATATTTCAAGAAATTGCAAGGAAAATTGCCCTAATATCTTTGAACAAGAGAGTAAAATAGAAACTGAAAGAATCCACTGATCACCTCCTGAAAGAGACCTCAAAATGAAAACTTCCAGAAATATTATAGACAAAATCCTAAGTTCCCTGTTCAAGCAGAAAATACTGCAAGCATCCAGAAAGAAACAATTCAAATATTGTGGAGCCAAAGTCAGGACTACACAAGATTTAGCAGCGTCTACATTAAATGATCAGGGGTGGAAATTAACATATTCTAGAAGGCAAAGAAGCTAAGGTTACATCTAAGAATCACCTACCCAGGAAACCTGAGTATAATCCTTTAAAAGTGGGATAGGGAATGGCCATTTAATGAAATATAAGACTTTCAATCATTCCTGATGGAAAGACTGTAGCTTAAGAGAAAATTTGATTTTCAAATACAGGACCTTAAGAGGATCATAAAAAGGTTAATAAAAAATTAAAAAAAAAACTATAAAAGATTCAATAAGGTTAAACAATTTGCTTTCCTACATGAGAAGATGATACTTGTAACTCTTAAGAACTTTTAACTATTATGGAAGTTAGAAGTTGTATACATAGAGGATATGGGTATAAGTTGAATATGATAGGATATCTCCCCCTACTCCCAAAGAAATAACAGGTGAGAAAGAGGGTTGCACTGGAAGAAGAGGGAAAGGAAAGGTAGAACTGAGTAAATTGTTTCACATAAAAAGGTACAAAAGACCTATTACAGTGGAGGGAAAGATGAGGGGTGGGTAACAGGAAACAATTAAACCTTATTCTCATTGGATTGGCTCAAAGAGGGAACAACATACACACTCAGTTGGACATAGAAATCTACCTTACCCAGTAGAGAAACAGGAAATAGAAGGGCAGGAAATAAAAAGGGGGTGTCTGATAGAAGAGAAGGCATATTGGGAGAAGTGGTGGTCCGAAGCAAAACGCTGGTGAGGAGGGATGGGGTCAAAGGGGAGGGAGGGAGAGAGAGGGAAAGAGAGAGAAAGAGAGAGAGAGAGAGAGAGAGAGAGAGAGAGAGAGAGAGAGAGAGAGAGAGAGAGAGAGAGAGAGAGAGAGAGAAGAAAAATAGGATGGAGGAAAATACACAGCTAGCAATCATAACTGTGAATGTGAATGAGATGAACTCACCCATAAAACATAAACAGATAGTAGAGAGGATAAAAACCAGAATCCTACAATAAATTGTTTACAAGACACATTTGAAGTAGAGAGATATACACCGAGTAAACATAAGGTGTCTATTATGCAGGGATAGCAATCATAATCTCAGAAAAAGCAAAAGCAAAAATAGATCTAATTAGAAGAGATAAGGAAGGAAACTATATCTTGCCAAAAAGTACCATGGATGATGAAGTAATATCAGTAATAAACATATTTGCACCAAATGGTATAGCCTCCATACTTTTAAAGGAAGTTACATGAAAGTTACATACTTTTAAATGATTTACATGAGGAAAGAAACAGCAAAACTATACTAGTAGGGGAACTCAATTTTCTCATCTCAGAGCTAGATACATCCAATCGAAAAATAAACAAGAAAGAAATTAAGGAGGTAAATAAAATTTTAGAAAAGTTAAATATGATAGATTACTGGAGAAAATTGAATTGGAATAGAAACAAATATACTTTTTTTTCCTCAGCAGTACATGGCATCTACACAAAAACTGACCATGTATAAGGACATAAAAACCTCAAAATCAAGTGCAGGAAAACAGAAATACTAAATGCATCATTTTCATATCATAAAGCAATAAAAATTACATTCAATAAAGGGCCATAGAGAAATAGATTAAAAACTAATTGGAAACTAAGTAATCTAATCCTCCAGAATAAGTGGGTCAAAAAACAAATCATAGAAGCAATCAGTAATTTCATTAAAGAGAATGATAACAATGAGACAACATTATACTTAATAAATATGTACTGTTTTGAATGGAATTGAAAAATAAAAATGACAAATAGGAAAATGAAATGCAAAGTAAGTAAGGGTATCATAAGGGATTGTCTAACTGACCATGATGACATTAATTTCTAGCCTCAGAACAAGCTATACTCTAGAGTACTGAAAATGTCACATTTAATAGGTAAGCCAATTTCAGAGATCTTTTCCAGACCCAGAGAACAAGAGAAGTGTAACAGGAATAGAAAATAAAAAATGTTGAAGTGATTAAAAAAAGAGGTAGTAAAGAATTTGCAAAATATGGGTGAATAATGTTGACTGTGATTCCTGACCAAATTATTGCATTTCTAATTACTCGTGGGTAAATTAACATCTCAAGAAAAGATGGCAACAACAAAGGATCAGCATGATTTCATCAAGAACAAGTAATACCAGCAAAGACTCTTTTCCCTTTTTGATAGGGTTATTAGACTGGGGTTAGAAAATGGAATACTGTAAATAGAATTTATATAGAATTCTGCAAAGCATCTGACAGATTCTAATTATCTTTGTTTAAAAAATGAAAGATGTGATAATAATAATAATAATTAATAATAATAATGATGATGATAATGTCATAGGTGGAATTAGAACTGAATGACTTACCAGGTACAAGGAGTATTGATTAATGAAAGGCAGTGCAATTGAAAGTTCTCTAGATTTTGAATCTAAGGATCTGGGTTTGAATCCTGACATGAATAGGATGATTAGCCACAAAGAATGGGAAATCTCTATGATCCAGATAGGGAAATCCACTTGATCTTTACTTCATTTTAATAACTTGTAATATTATTTTAACTTTTAAAAATTATGCTTTTCAGGTGTTTTTCATAGTAAATAAAATCAAACAGATGTATACAGAGTGTAAAAAGACAAATTCTTGTCAAAAGCTATACTACTTAACTGAGATAAGTTAAAAAAAAGCATATAGAATCTCTGATTAGTGATTCAAGCTCTGATCTCAGTACTAGTTGAAGAAACACAAACATATGGATACATAAATATGAAACGAGCTAAATGTCCACTCCACCTCTAGTTACTGAAAAATATTGAGAATTAGTCCAGGTGTATGCTGTTCATTGATTTTTGCTAACTAAAACTAGGCTACACTTAAACTTTTACACTGAACCCATGGGTTTCAGAAAAATAAAAATGAGAAAATCATGACATTTTTGCATATGTGGATAGCCATTCCTCCTTTGTACCCAAATGATACTTTTTAATCTCTATTTAAAAGGTTTCATTTAAAATTTTGATGTGTATGCTAAGTAATTTACAAAGACATGGTCCCTTTCTCACTAGGTGCTCATGTTGTTCCCTCAGAGGTCCCTCAAACCTTTTTCACTTCCTCCCTTCCAGCAAAGATCTAACACAATACTGAACCTAGTCCTGAATGGGCACGGTTATGCAATTAAAATCAGCAGGGGAATTAAAGTCTGAAAATCCATTAAGGAGAAAAAAAAACATTATAAATAATACGTCCTGAGAAGCTTAGTGGGATATGGATTTACTCCCACTGGTGGTCAATATCTTGTTATAGCTCAATTATCTCGGCAAGGCTCATGTTCCTCATTCTTCTGCTTCCATACTGCATTGCACTTATGTCCTGCTGAGTGTCATTATGTGTCTTATGGCTTTAAGTAGCAACTTCCCCATCAATAGAAGTTTCCTTGGATGGTTCTTTCATTTTAATGCTTTGCTAAGTACATTTTTTAAGAAGGTCTTGACTTGAAGACTATGATTTAATATCTCTTAAGTTTTTGCCACTGTTGAGTAAAGTTGGATTCCTATTTTCTTAGGAATATGAAAGTACAAAACAAGTAACTAAGAATAAATTTTGAAATAAACTTTCTGAACTGCAGGAGACAAATTATGGGATTTTTTTTTGGTTCCCGGTAGAGACTGACTTTCCAATCAATTGCAATTGAAATGCTTTCTGTTTCAAGCATCAAGGAATATTATTTAGTTATTTACTTTTCCCTCATATAATAAATTTGAGCTAATGAATTAGTTTCACAAGGAAGTCATGTTATCTTACATGAAGGTAGAACTGACCCTGGCTCAGTAAGGATTTAAGTCCAAATTACTTTCTTTCACTCAAATGATGGAAACATGGTTTAACTAGTCCTATCAAGAAATAATTAAGAATAACATGGAGTAGCACATTCATAATGATTTAACAACTGGTTTTTAATATCAAATGCTATTCTTTGCCAAAAAGTAATTTATAATCACTCTCAGCCTAGACATTGTTGTTTGCGACCCTGTGTATATATTGAGTTCACAAATTTTTATATGTTAAAACAGATTGAGACCTTAGAGTTCATCATGTCTCTCATTATACAGAAAATGAAAGAGAGGTCCAAAGACAGGAAGTGATTTTCTCAAGACATGAACAGACCAAGGAAGCTACTTTCCTATCTGTTAGGCTACTGTGATTATTATGACCATCACTTACTCTAAGTAGGATGAAAAAAATCACAAATTTAGCTCTGGAAATTATCTTAGAAGTCATTTAGTCCAAACCCTTCATTTTAGAGATGATACTAGGGCCCAGAGAAAAGGGAAGTGACATGCTCAAAGTTGTAATGTCCAATAAATACTAAAGGGAAGTAACACTAAAGGAAAATAATATTACAAACCAAAACAACGTTGTACAATAATGTTTAGGCTGGCTACAGTCTTACCTGCCTGCTGAAAACTAAATAAATAGCACTTTATAGATAAAGAGCTCATCACTTTTTTTTTCCTGAAATTGTGAAAGTCTTCCTAAGAAATATGTGCAGTTATAAAAAAAAAACTGAGGACAAAAACACAAAAAGAGATAGATGCATGGATAAGAAATTTTATTAAGGCAATGCCATTTGAATGAGACACCCATATATGGAATAAACACACTCATTTTTCACCTTAAGGAAATAAATAGGTCTCACTGAAATGAAAGCCATAATGAAATAATATTCACGTGATAGTCTTAGTATTTTCTCAGTGGTCTTAGGAAAATCATCTTGAAATCCCATTGGATGAATATATCTCTTTCAAATCTTTTTTTTTTTGGTTTACATGTGCATAACCAGGTTCCTAGTAATGAGTATCTGTGTAGAGCTATGATTATGCAAGTAAATAGAAGAAAAGATTTCTTCAAGGTGATTCATATATTATTTAAAGGCATGGATGGAATAAATTCTATGAACTATATACCTACCTATCACCCTTGAAGAAGTAGGTCTTCCCCACATCTTCCCACCAAATGGCAGAATCAATGCCATGAGGGGGAATTCCATTTCCAAGTGTTATTAAATCATGTGGATAACCTGGTTGAAGAGTGGTATCCTTGAACACCCAGTATTTGTTACCTGTACAAAATACAAATATTAATTTCAGAAATCATAATTAAATATATGTATGTATATATAACTTGTATATATTTTTTTCAAAAATGAATGTGATGCAAAGCATATTTTATTTGTTTGGAGTCCTTGAATAAATCGCCTTTAGAATGGATCATTTTTTTTAAGACCTTTGATTTCATATATATTGGGTACTCTTGATACAGTGATTCCCTCTCATTGATACTGATCAGCAACTTGTACCAAACACATAGTCTTACAGAATTCCCTGCAGACCATGAGAAGAAATAAATTCTCCAAGCTCATGTATTTAGTGAGTGTTATATTTAGGACTCAAATCCAGTATTCCTGGCTCCAATGCCGACCCTCTATCTGCTACTCTGTGATGCCAATATAGGATGATGTATTTGAAGGAGAAAAAGAACTTAGAACTTAACCCTTTCATTTTACAGATAGGGAAAATGAGGTTCAGGGAGGTTATATTACTTGGCCAAGGTAACATGGAGGAAGATAACCAAGAGTTTAGAAGCCACAAGTTTGCACTATGTGAGGATGTCTGCATATTAATAGTCACTTATTTGATCAAATCATTGTAGATAATTCCTTTTTATTCATTAGAACAGCCTTTATTAAAAGTAAGTGTGGTACAGTGAAAATTGATGTCATTTTGAGTCAGACGACCTGGGTTCAAATCTCAGTTCTGCTATTGTGATACTGGGCAATTCACTCAATCTCTCTGGGTCTAAGCTCTTTATCTGTAAAAAAAAAAAACAGTTGGGCTAGAAGACTTTCAATATCTCTTCTAGTTCTCGACTTATGATAGCATTTTAATGTAACAAATGAACAACTTTAAAGTATTAAAATATTAAATTTTAAAATAATTAAAACTTTTAAGAAATTCAAACTGACTTTTATACTAGTGATTTTGATTAAAAATAGCATACAAATGTATGGGACAATAAACACTTCAAATTTTCAGCGAATATTCCAGGGGTTTATGAAGAGATTCACTTTATCCAGGTTTCCTAGTTTTCTGAATAATGATGACAACACTAACTCGAATTTGTAGAGATTTTAAAATTTATAAAACTTTTTCTTTACCACAATTCCGTAGAGTTGGAAGTACATAATAATTGAGGAAAAATAAAAAAATAAACTTAATCAGTAATGAAACCTATGGCCTAATTTTTATATGCAAAATTATAAAATAAGGCTAACAAGCAGGATGGCCTAACGAAAGAAGATTAATCTGGATTCACAGACTCACTGAGACTTGTTAGGATGAGATCTGGAGAAAAGGAGGGCTACAGTAGTCTTATAAACTAATAAGATATGCTGATGTAACAGAACACAGGAACCAGAGAGAGAAATTATGGTGGAATGTTTTGCCTATAGAGGCAAAAATGTAAGGAATATTGACATTGATGTGTATTATAGACTACACGGACAAAAAAAATAATAGATCATTTTAGAAAAGAGATCACATGCCCGGCATGGTGGCATAATATAGATAAAGGCAACTTCTACTATACACACATCTGGAAACCTCTCTGAAAAAAGAGGACAGGTGCTAATATTCTTAATCTTGCCTTAATGACTTCATCTCTCAAAAGCAACAAAGAAAAGGAAATCATAATTGGGATTTGATTCTTGCCAACAAAGAAACACTTGATGTTGGAGAAGAAATTATGGAAAGCACAGAGGAAAGTGATAACTAAAAGTAAGAATTTCTAAAAGAGAAGAAGAGGAAAGCTGGAAACATTTTGACATACAGCCTAGATTTTTATATACCAGATTTTAAAGGATTAAAAGCCAGCATAAGGTGGATCTCATGAACTAAAATTGAATAGGGAAAGTCAGATTAGGTGGGATAGGAGTCTTTTGAGAATAACATTCTGAAGTCATAAATGGGAAAAAATATTAGAAGGAAAAAGTAAAAATAGTTATCTAAAGTGACTGATGTGGATCAATACACCAAATAAATAAAAAATTAAAAAGACATATGGACAAAGGGCATGTGGCACATAAGGGCATGTGACAGAATTCAAAAGATGTATTATAATCTGGTAAGATCAGTGTATGATGTGCAAAAGCAAGTAGCTAAGGCTGGTAAGGAAAGGTTGGATTGAATGGAATAAATGATCACTAACAACAGAGCGAGGGAAGAGCTATTTAATTTTTCTTTTGCTTCTGCTATATTTGTAGATGAAGATTTTAAATTTGTAGATCAAGGAAATGTAAACATCTTCTACACAGATTTTTAGCAAGGCATTTAAGAGATTCTCTCATGGCATTCTTGAAAAAAAAAGATGAAGACATGCTGACTCAGAACATGAGAGCCATATGATCATATATGTAAGTTACAACTTTGATCCTCAGCTTCCTCATCAATAAAATAAGTATGCCAATATGTATGTAAACCTATTTGCAAACTTGAAAATGTTACATAAATTCCAGATGTTTTCCAGAAAATAATAAGGTTTGAGAGCTGGAAGGAGACTTAGTGGTTATTTAGTCCAAGGTATACATACAAGGAATACCCACTATCTCTTCTTGAAGAATGCTGAGAAAGACAAATCCATTGTCACCTAAGGCAGCCCATTATCATTCTGGAGAGCACTAATCATTAGGACATTTTTACTAACATTCAACCTAATATTCCTCTGCTACTTCCACCCACTGTTTGTAGTTTTATCCTTGTGGGGTCAAATAGAAGATATCTAGTTGCTCTTTCAACATGAGAGATTCTCAAGTAATTGAGTGCTATTACATCTTTTTATTTTTTTTCATAACTCAAGCTAAACATGTCTAGTTCCTTGAGTGGTCTTCATATGACATGGACTCAAAGCCCTTCACCATTCCTTTTGCCTTCTCAATGAGCTTCATAAACCGTGACACCCAGAACTGAGCTCTGTAACTCAATATGCGATCTGGTAAGGGCAGAATACAAAGCAATGATCACTTTCCAGTATCTGGAAACTATGCCTTTCTTAATGTAGCCCAAAAATACATTAGATTTTTTTTTGGCTGCCTCATCCCACTGCTATCTCATGTTCAGCTTTCACTATGCCAAAATAACCCAGATATCATTCAAACTGTTGTTTAACTATATCTTACCCATTCTGTATTTCTTTAGCTAATTTCTGAATGCAAGTATAAAACCTTATATTTATTCCTACCAAATTTCATATTATTAGACCAATGATATAGGCTGTCAAGCTCTTTTTGGATCTTGACATAGTGTGTTAGCTAACCTTACAAGCTTCTTACATTCTACCTATGTGATGAACATTCCATCTATCCCACTATCCAAATCATTGAAAAAGAAGTAAAACAGCATGAGGCCAAGCGCAGTTCCCTGGAAACCTTCTGCCAAGGTGACATTGAAGCATGAATGACAACCTTTTGTGTTTGACCATTCAGCCTGTCCTGAATCCATGTAATTAAATTATCAGGCAAGTCACATACCTCAATATTTTACACAAGAATAGCATGGGATATGTTAACAAATGTTTTGCTAAAATTTATTAAATTATAGGATGTCTATAACATTCTCCTAATTCACCTGTTTGGTAACCCTGTCAGAAAAGAAAATAAGTTTAGTTTGGCATTGCCTACTCTTGGTGAAGACTTGCTGGCTTTATGTATTCATTGCTCTCTTTATAGATATTCCCCAACAATCTATTTAATGATCCATTCTCAATTTCCCTAGTAATCAAATTTAAACTCACTGACTTAGAAGTTACAGATTCTGTTCCCTTGCCTTTTTTTGGGGGGGGAAGGGGAAAATCATATAAACATTTTCCTTTCTCCAGAACAGTCATACTTTTTTTTATTCTCCATGATCTTTCAAAGACCATTGACATGTCTCAGCAATTACATTTACCAGGATGAAGTTTACCTAGGCTATAATATGGATCATAATTCTACTGATTCAACAGGAATTAGGCTTATAATGATAATAAACCTACATAACAAATTTAGCCTGAAGATTAAGAATGGCTTTTGCCTCCTTGAACTTACAATGCAGGATCTCATTCTTTTGAAGATAAAATGACTGATAAAGAAGTAAAGAATAAGTTACATAATTGTATTGAGAAAATACAATGACATCTAAACATTACATTGGCAGACCGTAGAATTTAATTTATCTTATTTAATTATGTGTGGAATGGCCATGCCACAGGTACACACCTACCTTTGGTAAAATTTTGTATATTGCATTAAGAAAACTTCACCCCAAAGTTCCAGGATCATGTCCATGCCAGACTCAGTGGGACAGAAAATCTAGAAATCTGTTTAAGAGTTTTTATTATATTTTAGTTACCCCTCTGTGTTATTCAAGAAGAGAAGTTTAAGGAAAGATATGCTAGCCTGTATCTTCGTGATTAACAGTAGGCTTTACTTTTATCACATTCTTCATTAGGAAAGGGTATATATTTTAAATCCCTCCCATGCTGGTTTTACAGAATAAATCTTTTATCAGCTTCTCTCAGCTGGTCATAACCAGCTTTCAAGCAGAGGCACTCTAGCATGGATCAGCATATCCCTTCTTGTTCTTCCTTGGTAAATCATAGCATCATCCATTCTTTCCAAGGAAACCACCCAATGCTTTCTCTGCAGTCTGGCTGTTGAGTTTTTTTTTTTTTCCCAAGGCACACAGAGCTTCAGGTTGTATTTGGCTTCAGAAAATGTTCATACAGCCTTAGTCTGTATATTTTCCAGGGTGTCAGCAGGAGGGGAACGATGTGTGAACAAATGAGAGTTACAGTTCCTCTAGGAAATTCCTGTCATTCTACCTGTTTTGTTTTGTTTCCATGTTCTCTAGGGATGCATTCCTACAGTGGAAGCCCAGTATTTCCTTTCAATGATGGGAGAAAAAAAAATTCTGCATTTCCTTTTAAACTGACAGAGCATTTCTACAAAAGATTTTTTACCAACAGGCTTTCTTTCCTTAACAGAAGAAACCAAGGGTCTGAAAAATATCCAATAATCCTTCATTGAAC